ATTCATTCATTGATTCATTCATTGATTGATTGATTCATTCATCCATTCCTTTACTATTTGACAACGTAGAAAATTTTCTAACAGTAGATTGATTCAAATTCTCTTCTTGGTTTATTGAAAAGTTTCGACTACGAATAAAAGAATAAATGTTCGTATTGTATTCGAACTCAACTTATTCGTAGAATAATCGAAGCTTCCCTTGTCCATGGAAATTGACAGAAAGAGAAAAAGAGAGAGAGAAGAAAACGAGTGGGGTTGTAAGGGTAAAAAGGTTACGATGGGGGAGTGGTGGTGGTGGTGGGGAAGGGTGGAGGCATGGGAATGGAAGTTGGTTAAAGGATAAAGAAAAGAATAAGATGGGGTTCGAACAGTTGTATAGAAAAATATTTTTATTCGTATGGAGAGACATCGATGACCGCACGAGAAAGAAACCATGACCTGATCGAAAATACACCCATACATTCAAACACACATACCACACACGCCATTTTTTTCTGCCATTAGAGAAAGAGGGTGTAAAAGAAGACAAAAATGAACCGAAAATTTAACTCGGAATGACAAGACGAATAGCTTCCGCAAAAAGAGCTATGGGGGTGTGGGGTGGGTGGGGGAAGGTAAATAAGCAGCAGTCTTGTCCGTTAGACACCATAGTGAAGAAAATTACGACTGATGGACGTGTATCTATCCTAATGGTAAAAGGGTAGGAATCCACACATGCAACAACCCATCCTAACCCCATAAATTTCACTTTAAGTTTGGTTGGTATACGTGATGTGCAAAACACCGATGATTATTAAAGTCGTCTAACTTATGACATATATTTATTGTTTCAATATATTTATATATATATATTCTAAAATATTTAAACAATCCGAAAATTATTTTTTCAAATTATTATTTAATGTTATATGTGATATAAATAATATTTCGGATTAATGGGAATTATTTTAAATATTTATATCTTTTCTTTTTACAATAATAATAAATAATTAATTTAATTAAT